GCACCGCGCTCAGCCAGTGAGCGCTGTGAGCGCACCAGTCATCCTTATATAGGATCTGAACCCACGGCAGGAGCGCTGCTGCGCTCCCAGCGCCGTACTCTCCCGAGTGCGCCACGGGCTCGGCCCTATCTTCTCTGATTTTTAACAAGCTATTTTGCAAACAGTCTATTGAAACATTCTAAAACAAAACTACAGCAAATAAATCATTTGTGGGAGGAAAATAATGGCCCTCCAAATATGGCCACATCCTAATCTTTGGAACCTGTGAATATGTTACCTTACATGGCAAAAGGGACTTTGCAGTTGTAATTAAGATGACAGACCATAAAATATGGGGATTTTCTCAGATTACCCAAGTGGGTTCAAGGTAACCACATAGTCCTTAAAATTGAAAAGGCTCGGGCCTGCCCGGTGGCGCACTCAGTAGAGTGCAGCACTTGGGAGTGCGGCGGCGCTCCTGCTGAGGGTTTGGATCCCATATAGAGACTGGTCCGCTCACTGGTTGAGCGCGGTGCGGGCGTGACACCAAGAGTTGCGATCCCGTTGCCGGTTGTGATCCTGTTGCCGGTCACGGTACGTGCACGACACCGAGGATTGCGATCCCGTTACCAGTCACGAAAAAAGACAAAAAGGAAAAAAAAAAAATTGAAAAGGCTTGCAGAATAGTAAGTCAGGGATATGAAACAGAAGAAAAGGCAAAAGAGATATGACCTGAGAGAATGACTGAATATGCCATTGCTGGCTTTGAAGATGAAGGAAGGAGTCACAAGCCAAAGAATACAGGCAGCCTCTAGAAACTAGGTAAATCCCTCAGTGATAGCCAGCAAGGAAACACAGACCTCAATCTTACAAATGCAAACAACTGAATTCTGCCAACCAACTGAATGAGCAAGGAAACAATGATTCCTTAGTGCCTACAGAAGCTGGTACAGCCCTGTGAACACTGATTTTAGTGGTGAGGACCATGTCTGATTTCTGACCTACTGAACTAAGACAATAAATTTGTATTGTTTTACGCCATTAAGTTTGCAGTAATTTATTACAGCAGTAATAGAAAATAATTATAATATTTATTATTCATTAATAATTCACCATTTATAACTTTTTCTAATCAACTTCAAGATAGCTTGGGCAGAAATACTGTCTTCATTCTTTTATTCCCATCCTTAATCAAGCATACTACTTGGCTGGTAGTAGATGCTCATGATACAAATGCAAAGACAATATATTCAAATGTAAAGTTTTTCTTTTTAAAAGTACTTTTGATTACTAAAATCAAAATATATCAAATATATTTTTATAAAAAATTTTGATTTTTTAAAAATTTGATTTTTAAAAAATCAAATATTAATATTCATTAATCTAGACAATACAAAAGAAATTACTTACTTTGAACCCATCGGTAAAGTCTTTCATAAGCTGTTTCTTGAAGCAAGGCCATTTGTTCCATAATTTCTAAACTAAAAAAAATTAAAGATTTATTAAAATTTAAACTTTTAGTCCATTACATCTAAGCACCTAATAATTTTGCTTAATTACGGAATGATTTGGCTACAGCATATCAACTTTTTTATCATTTTATGGAATGATTTTTCAATAATTTTTTTACAATTAAATAAATGTTAAATTTTAATACCATCACTTACTTATCAACTGCTGTTTTAGTCTAAACATGTCAGGGTATAACTTCCCCCTTTTCCAAAGGTAAATAAAGATTAAACTCCTAATTTACAAAATGTCATACAGTTTCAAAAAGAATCTAGATGTCTTTAAAATTTTGGAAATGTAAGCAGCAACGCAATTAGACAAATGAACAATTACTTACCCTGCTGTTTGCTGGTTTGTACGCAAGAGAACTTTGACATCATTATGAATCTGCTTTACTCTTCCCAGTGCCTTGAAAAAATCCTTTAAAATTAAGAATATGACTTTAAAATGCCCATGTTTTCAGGTAAAATTACATTACTCTAAACTGAAAAATCATAACAAAGAGAAAAATTCTTTCATGTATTCTAATAAAGCCTTCCTATACTGAGCTCAACCTTCTCTAAATTTTTATACAAGGTGTAACAGATATTTACTTATATTTTAAAACATATATTAACTCAATGCCAACTATGTACCAAATAGTGTGCTAGTTGCCAAAGATATAAAATTTATAAAGACCAAAATCCTGTCCTCAAGAAATGTACAGCTTAATGAGAGAGAAATGCAAACCTAAATATTACTATGCAAAGAAAAACATACTATGTTTTACACATGTTATGACTTAAGCTGGCAATCTTATTGCTGAGGATGATGGTTCATATATCTGTTATATACCATTCTTCCCCCTCTTCTAAGAGCAGAATGCAAGGTTGGATGCATAAATGATGCTGATTAAATATATAAGAGTTAAATGATGACAAACTGATGACTGATTTTTTTTGTTTTAGAAAAATATATTGGAGCCTTAGTTTCCAGAATGCTACAAATAGTGTTCCAACCATGAGAGAAAATCAACTAAAAATAGGCCTTAGACATGGTGATGCAGATTTTCTTCATAAGCTTTGTTGTACTCCTTGACTTCTAAAAATAATACTCGTATTACTTTGAAAAAAACAAAAAGTAAAAAGCAATTAAAATATGCATCCTAATTTCCAAATTTAAAAATATCTTCAGATCAAACTTTTTTCTCTATGGGGAAATAGTGCTTCAAGAAAGCAATGTATAACATCTGTTAACTGCTACACTTTAAATGATTTTAACAGAATGCAAAGATACCTCAGTAATAGGTCCATCCCTTGTACCTCGGAGAAGACTCATTTCATCAGAAGTCAGTTGGAACTTGGATAAGAAGGCATCTGCAACTTGTGCTCTTATTTCTAATCTTTGACTACAATAAAAAAAAAAAAAAAGAAAAATCAAGCATGCTATGCATTAAAACGAATTATATCTCTTATACAACTTTTTAAAACAAAGGTGTGAGAGACTCTCAATATCTTTGAAAGCCTTGTTTCTCCCTCAAAGCTAGAAGCTCTTGTCAGGCATGAGGGTGATAAAATTAGCTGATATTGTTCTACCACAGATACTTGCACACAGTAAAAGGAGTTGATAATGACACAAAAGAAAAAATAAGTTCACAAATTGTTCCTGTATTACAAATTTTCAGCCACTTACAAGTACTTGAATAGCTCAACTTAAAATTTACAAGGTTACTTTCTGGGAGGAAAATATGCTCATTTTTTCAACCAATTTCTTCTCAGTCACTAAAAATTCCTAAGCTTCTGAAGTTTTCACATGAAGTGCATAACAACCAAAAATCAGGTCTATCAGTGTTCTGGGAGGAAAATATGCTCATTTTTTCAACCAATTTCTTCTCAGTCACTAAAAATTCCTAAGCCTCTGAAGTTTTCACATGAAGTGCATAACAACCAAAAATCAGGTCTATCAGTGTTTTATTTTAGGTTAAAAAGAGAAGAGTTAAGAACTCTTTTACTAATTCTTCATAAATCGATAAACTGACTTCTCCATTTTGGTCTTCCCCACTTTTTCTACATAATTTAGTAATAAAAACAATCTTTTAAATTATATTATCTGAATGCAACCCATCTAGACTAGCTGACATTTAGAAAAAGGCACACTATGGACTAGCATACAACATGCAAGGACCTAAGGAACTAGGCAGGATCACCATCTAAAAGCAAGTCAGGGACACCAACTACCTGAACAAAAACTCAACATTCCTGGTTTCTGTATCTTATATCTGAAGGTATATAAACAAAATTATAAAAGCATTTCACTAGTAGCATTCACAGGGTAGTAATATTCCACATCAAAAAACAGTTAAATGAGAATGAATAAAAATAAACATTTACATTTTTTGTAAGACAGTACAACGCATCTATCTTTGTTTTATCTGTACGTTTGAAGTTGGGAGATTTTAAAATCACAAAGTCAAATGCTTCTGAGTAATATGGAAATTTACAAAGAAAAAGTCCTCTAGGTGGCAGTAACATTCCATTTATCTCAAATGATAAAGTAAATCACCTAATTAAGTCTACGCAGATTTAAATGGCTTGTGTTCTTAATTGCTTTATTAGTTGTACCTTCAAGTTACATTAACAGATTTTGTTCTATACTCTTAGATAAAGCTCCAATCATTACTGTAAAGGATTTAAAGTAATTATAAAACTTCATAAAATTGTTTAAGACTATATACAGTAATCATTTCAACTAAAACCTTTTTTGGAGCTTTTTTGGATCTATCTTTAGAATTTATTTTTATTAGGCACAAAGAAAAAACTAGTTTCTTTAGTTCATAGTTTCATTTTGTTTTAAGCAAAATTAGTGTTATTTATCTTAATCATGACCCTTAATCATTAAAATTCATTCCAAATAATATGGTTGACTGAATCTAAATATCAATCCACGAGAAAAAGACTGACTCATAGGTACTATATCTACAAAAGAGATGGTCCAAAAATATTTTTAACAATGGCCATACTGCTAAAACGACTTGGTATCTCAAGATGGCAACTTTTGAAGTAGTGACAATAAATTATAATATATTTTTAAATCACATTACTCTTTAGTTTTACTATATTCTGTATACTGAATATTAGTATAAATTGGTATAACCTTCTTAGAGTGAAATGTAGGCAATATACATCAGGACACTTTAAAAAGTTAATAACCATTTAATTCGTTAATTACAATTCTAGGAATTTAACCTAGGGAAATAATCTGAAATGTATATAATGATTTAAAAACATTTACTGAACCATTATTTTTAGCATGGGAACCAAAATAAATATTCAATAATTTAAGAATGGTTATGTGGGTTGATTCACAAGACAAAATATAATGCCACCATTAAAAAACATGGTCTCTCAAAATAAAAATCATAGAAAAATGCACTTAAAATATTAAGTGGAAAAAAGTAAAATATAACTCCACACACAAACATGCTCATTCTAGAAGAAAATATACCAAAATGTTAGTAGCAGTTACTCTGGGTAGTGGAGTTATATCTGGTTTTAATTTTCCTTAAGTTTTATACAATAGATACATGTTAACATTATGTCAAAAATATTTTTTAAAGAACAAAAGAGTACTTTTCTACACTTAAGAGATACCTTTTACATAATTTAAACAAAAGAAAGATAAGTGAAATAGACTTTTCACTTCTGGTTGCTTCATATCTGATTGTCAATTACAATTCCTTAAGAAAAAGTATTTCCACAAGATTTCTCTTGGTCCTAAATTAGAAAAAAAGAAGAAGAAAAAGAAACTTTCCACTTTAAGTTTCTATAACATATCAAACTAAAAGTTAAAATAAACATTAAAAAAAGACTGGTTAAAAAAACTCATTATAGAGAAAATCCTATGACTAGGCTGTTGAGTTATCAGCATTTGCAGTCTCATGCCATGATTTTAAAATCTGAAAATAAAATAAATTTCTAAATCTTGTATTTTAGCATTTTAGAAACTAGGCAGTAAAGTAGTTATTTCAACACAAAAACTTTTTTAAAATACAGCAAGTACAAGTAACAAAAAAGAAACTAAACTACATCAAAATTTAAAATGTTTGTGCTATAAATGATATAAAGAAAGTGAAAAGACAAACCACAGAATGGGAGAAAATAGTTGCATATCACAAGGAACTTGTATCCAGAATAAATAAAGCACTCTTACAATTAATAAATAAAAGGCAACCCAATTAAAAAATGAGCAAAGGGTGTTATTAGATGCTTCTTCAAAGAAGATATGCAAATGGCCAATAAGCACATGAAAAGACACTCAACATCACTAGGTATTAGGGAAATGCAAGTCAAAACCACCATGATACCTCTTCATACCCAGTAGCATGGCTATAATAAAAAAGAAGATAATAGCAAGAATCTGCAGAAATTGGAATCCTCACACATTGCTGGTGGGAAAACTGTGTATCTTTGGAAAACAGTCTGGTAGTTTCTCTAACAGTTAAACATGGAGTTATCATAAAAAAGCCAACAATTCTACTCCTGGGTATATACTTCAGAGAAATAAAATTTTATGTATTTCTATGTACATAATTATTCATAGCAGCATTATTCATTAACAGTCAAATAGTGGAAATAACCCGAAAGTCTATCAACTGATGAATGGGAAAACAAAATATGGTGTATCCACACAATGGGAATACTATTCAGCCATAAAAAGGTTGACACAACATAGATAAGCCTTGAAAATATTTATGCTAAGTGAAAGAAGTTAGACACAAAAGGCCACATATTGTATGATTCCATTTATATGAAAGGTCAAGAATAGGCAAATCTAGATATGGTGTATCCACACAATGGGAATACTATTCAGCCATAAAAAGGTTGACACAACATAGATGAGCCTTGAAAATATTTATGCTAAGTGAAAGAAGCTAGACACAAAAGGCCACATATTGTATGATTCCATTTATATGAAAGGTCAAGAATAGGCAAATCTACAAAGGCAGAAAGTAGATTAATGGTTGACTAAGGCTGAGGGAGTGACTGCTAATGGTCACCAGGTTTCTTTCTGGGGTAGCAAAAATTTTCAAAACTTATGATGATGGTTGTACAACTCTGTAAATATACTAAAAACTAATGACAGACGTACTTCGAATGAGTGAATTTTATAGTATGTAAATTATCTCAACAAAAATATTTTTAAAATAAAAAAACTACTTTTTGATATACAATTACTTTGACATCCTAATACAATACTGGTGTTATAACTGTACAAAATACAGCTTACAAAAGTGTCTCAGTCATCTAGTTTGATACTTTCATTCCTTAACTTTGATTTTAGTATAAGCAAAGTCACTATTATTCGTATAAAAAAGAATTTTCAAATCATAAGAAATATCATAGGCAATGTCAGCAATAACTACTTAAAATGTTAAAGTAACCAAGTGAACATATTCAATTCAATAAGTTTGTCATGTAGAAAGCACTGGGTACAAAGAGCATTAATGCACTGCCCTTGCTATCCAGTTAAAATAGTCAAAGGCCATAGAGTCCAGCAAGTGTTTAGGAATTACAGAGCAGAAGATAAGCGCTATAACAGCAACACGTCGGAGTACAAAGAAGGAACTGATTAATTTTTTTTCTGGTGACTGAGTAAAAGTTCCTGGATGAACATGGAAAATAGATAATAGAACCGTAAAATACAAAGGTGGCTTAAATTCCTTGTGAACTGAACTATTTTTCAAAGTAATAAAGACTTTCTTTGAAACATATATATGTACATATATAAATATATAAATTCTCAAGGAACATATAAATGCATGTACACACACACACCCCACACAGAGTTGCCTAAAATTCAGAAATTTTGTAAAATATTTTGAAATGTATGATGAGCATAAACAACAGTGGGACCTTAAAGGATAAATTAGTTTTCAACAAATGAATTTTGGAAAATGGAATTCCAGACTGAACAAACAAGAATGTAGAAAAAGTCTACCTGCTGAATAAATGTAGTTAAATCAGGAAATAAACAGCGTATGATGTGTGCCCACAAAAAGAAAGCTCTTGTGTATTGGGGGAAAGAAAACATAGCTAGATCAGACAGAGGTTTTACTTTAAAAACAATCCATACAACCTCCAATCCCGATTTTAAAAATGTTTGAACCAAAGGTCGTTTTCAAATTTTTCCTTACACCGTTTCCTTTACAGCATGATCATCATAATCGCAAAAAAAGGATAAGCCATACCATGCTTTACCCCCAAATTTTCATTTCTGGTGCAATATACCTAAGTGAAATAAAGTTTTTATAATCTATCTGAGGTAGATCCCCACATTAACAATAACTTCTTTTGGAAAGTTCAGATATTACTACTATGTACAAATGAGGAAGAAAGAAAGGAGATGTGATGCTCCCTGCATTCCCCTAACTTTTTATTAGGCAACAAAAGAATATATATCACATATGCCACTGTAATATATTTTTACATGTATATTTGTGCAAAATAAATAGCTTTATATTTTCATGTTACCAACTTTGAAACCTGAATTAAAGCAGTTTGCAGCAACACATTAAAATAAATTAAAACTATTAAAAACTGAAATAGTAAATAAAAGGAAACAGTGAGAAAGTAAGTAATATAGCTAAGGAAAGCTATTGCAATAAGCACAAATAGATCTAAGCTTCCTACTCTTCAAAGCAAATGTAGAAATAAGATGTGCTACACAGATTAAATTGTCTAATAAAAGAAGGTTATAGAGCGCTAACATTCATTAATGTTTGCCAGTGTGTTCAGCACTTTATGTAAATCATTTTATAATCACAAGCCTGTCACATATATATTACTCGCTTTTTTCAGATGTGGAAGCTTAGGCTAAGAGAGGTTAAGAAAGAACCTGTACACAATTAAAAACCTAATGAGCTCTTATTCAAGATTTAGATTAGAATTCAGGTTTTTGTCTTCAAATCCTATTCTTTCCATTTCAATATTCTGAACCTAAAGAAAAAAATAAAAACATAAATATTCTCCAGAGTCTATTTTTCCGAGTTCAGAGAGAAATTTGGCTGGTGGGCCTTTACAAAAAACAATAAAAATATAAAGAATAGTGATTTCAGTAGTATTAAAAAATACAGAGGTGTATTCATGTGGATATAGCCTTTCCTGATCATCAGTGAAACCCATCTTCTGACTACCGATTAAAAATTGGGGGGAAAATGTCCTGTGAAGACAACTATACATCTAGCTTTACCTATTAGAGCATCAGCTGTCACATGACTGTCTTCCTCCTAATCCAGCTGGAAAAATATTCATGTCATTTATACATTTGTCTGAATAAAAATATCATGTCATACAAATAAGCCCACAGCATTTCTATTTCTAAAGCTAACTACTTATTTAACAGAGTTTGTTAAAAAGAAAAGATGGAAATAAATACACACACATAAAAGTACGAGTAAAACTGGGAAATATGAGTAAGATTGGTTGATTACACCAATGTCATTACCCTAATTGTGATATCATACTATAGTTTTGCAGGATGTAATCATTGGAGGAAACTGGGTAAAGGCTACATGGGATCTCTGTAATATTTTTTACAACCACATATGAATCTACAATTATCTTGAAATAAAAAGTTTAATTTTAAAAAGTAAGAACGTTTTTTCAAAGTTTAACAGTTAGGAGATAAGAGAATAAAGGTAGGAGGTGTGGGAGGCATCCCAAGAAAAAGATATGAATAATATTTTGGCTAAGGCAAGGCTTTTCAAATTACAGTCTCTGGGCCATTTGCACAGAAATACCTGAGACATGGTTAAATGGACAGAGTCCTGAGCCCAACTGAAGATCTACTGAATCAGAAAATGGCTGTCTACTCTGAAGCAATCAGAATTTCTGAGGATGGATGTCAGAATTTGCCATTCTATCCAGCTCCCAGGTGGTTCTTACGTTCACTCTGATAAGGTAGAGTACATGAACAGTAGCACTGTGTGTAAAGAATAGGAAGGAAAATTGGGATAAAAATCACAGATGGCTCCAAACGACATCTAATATCAGACTAAATATGTCCTGTGATAAACACTTTGAAGAAATAATTGTTTAAGTATAATGGATACAAAATTCTTGCTTATACTGAGTAAAAATTTGCAACCTGTAAATTTGTCCTTTGAGAATTCCAATCCCAGCAGCGATACAGAATAAATGTAGCTCTTCTGCAAATAGGATAGCTCATCAAATACGTGAAGACAACCATTAGTCCCTCTTAGTCCTATACTTCTAAATAAATAATTCTATTTTTGTCGAACTCTGTGCCATTTTCTGGGACCCTTTATCATCCTATTCACCCGCTCATCAAATACGTGAAGACAACCATTAGTCCCTCTTAGTCCTATACTTCTAAATAAATAAATCTATTTTTGTCGAACTCTGTGCCATTTTCTGGGACCCTTTATCATCCTATTCACCCTCTTGTAAATACCGTTTTTTAAATCTGTATTTATTATTAGCATATTCATTCTTACAAATCGTGATATTTCTTTATGCCTTTTGCCTAACCTATCATTTCCCAAACCTCCTCCCTCCCCCCATCTCTACCATCCTTAGGTTTGTTCTCTCCTTCTGAAAGTTCAGCTTATTGTTGTGGTCTTTTCTTCTTTCCTTCATTCTTTCCTTCTTCCTCCCCCCGCCCCCCCCGCCCCACCTTCCTTCCTTCCTAGCAGTCAGTTATGAGTGAGAACATGTGGAATTTCTTTGTCTGGCTTATTTCACCTAACATAATTTTCTCCAGAGTCATCCATGTTGCTGCAAATAGCAAAATTTCACTCTATTTTATGGTTGAGTATTATTACACTGTGTATATATATCACATTTTCTTTATCCAGTCATCCATCAATGGACATTTAGGTTGGTTCCATATTTTGGCTATTGTAAATAGAGCTGCGATGAACATGGGCGTGCAGGTATTCCTTCGACATGATGATTTCCATTCCTCTGGGTATATTCCCAGTAGGGGGATTGCTGGATCATATGGTAGTTCTATCTGTAGTTGTTTGAGAAACCTCCATACTGTTTTCCATAATGGCTGTGATAGTTTACAGTCCCACCAACAAAGTAGAAGAATTCCCCTTTCCCTGTATCCTTGTTAGTATTTGTTATTCTTGGTCTTTTTAATAATGGCCAGTCTAACTGGGGCGAGAAGCTTGATTCTGCTATGTCTTACACTTAGCTTTCCTTTCCATACTTTGTCCTATTCACAATTTTTCAAGTAAGTTATCTTTGTATTCTCCCAAGTCTTTGATTAGATGTTGAAAATAAAAGGACTGAAGATAAGCCTGGAAAAAGACTAGAAACCTACCTGTAGGTCAAAATCAACTAATTAAACACCAATTTGGGGGTAGGACTCCTTAGCTATAAATACAGCTTAACTACAATGTCAACATGACAAAAGAAAATTTGGGGTCAGACCACCTAATTTCAATTTCTATCTTGGCAGTTTCTAACTGTATAACTCTGAGGAAGACACTAAACTACTCTAATTTTGGCTTGTAGAAATCATAATACAGGTAAAAGTGAATTTCACTGAAAGAGAAGATAGCTAGTAAAGAAAAAAGAGGATCTAAAAGAATGAAATTAAACTTAAAACTTTGATACTTAATTTTTAAGGTTTTTCTCTAGCATGAAGTATAAAATCAAGAAACATTATTTTATTTGCTATCCTACCTTTAACTAGTCTTAAAATGGGGCAATATTTTTATATTTTCCCACCGTCAAGCCCTTTTTTCAAACAAAATCTTACATGAAATTCTCATATATTAAATAAGTAAAAGTGAAATCGCTCTAACTAAAGTTAGAGTGCGAGGCTCTGACCTCCAAAACTCCATATCCTCCTAATTCTTGCAAAGGAACTCTAAGGTTCAATGGCCTGTAGTCTGGAAATGACAGGTATAAGGTAAGGTAGATGTTACAATATCCAATAGAATATTCCCTCTATGTGTAAAGAAAATATGGCTGCTTTGTTCTGTGCTATTTGCTAAAGAGAATATTTTAAAAATAAGGTTGGTATATAACATATTCCATTTTATTCCACTGTATATTACTCTGTTTCTGTAAGATAGAAAAGTAAGTAATATTGGTTACCATCTTAACGGCAAGAGTTCATTCCAATTAATCTGAGTCCTTTCTAGCCCTGAGACCCATGATACCCTCTTACATAAGTAACTTTGCACCTCTGAACTCTCTATAATTTCCCATTCATCTTATCTTAGTCTAAAGTTAAGAGAATTGTGTTAAGAAGGATTTAGGGCTCAATATTAAAGAAAGTCAAGACTAATAGATGTGAAACTAAGGAGTATAGGCCATGTACTTGCCATCATCGGTGTAGGGCAGTGATTTTCAAACTCTTTTGACCATAACCTACAATTAGAAGTACATCTTAAACCATTAGCAGAGACTGAAACAAAAGCTTTAGAAAATAATATTTAAACAAACTATTTTCCATTTCATCTTACTCTAATTCATTTCTTAAGGCTAGTTATGATCCACTTAAATAATTTTACAACACATTGGTCTTGACTTGCAGTTTGAAAAACACTAGCTTGATTAGGGTTAACAGACTTTTTCTGTATAAATCTAGACAGTAAATATTTTAGGCTTTGTAGGCCACATATGATCTCTGTTGTTATAACTCAATTCTGCCACTATAGGGTAAAAGCAGCCATAGACAACACATAAAAACATAAGCATAGCTGTGTTCCAATAAAACTTTACTTGCAAAAATAGATGGTGAGCTGAGTTTAGCCTGTGGGCCATAGTTTGATGACCTCTGTTCTATACTACAGTATACTGAGCTACTCTATAATAAACAGCTATGGTAGTAATATCTCCACATTACTGATCAAACACCTAGAATACTCAAAGGTTTAAATGCTGTAACCAGCTATTAAGTGGTAGAAAGGTATACTGGCATAGCGCACAATACTTTTCCCTCTGTATACTATTCCAGACATAGAGATGCACTATTTATGAGTGTTAGCTTAATACATAACCCAACATTCTACATTAATCCATATTGTACTTACCTTCATTTGCTCATTTATTCAATCAACAAATATAAGTGTACCTGTTTGTTTAAACTACTTCAAGAAGAATTTATACAGTTAACTCAATTATATCAGAGGGATTTATATCAGAGTTATCTATAATTTTCTCTCCACTTAATCTCCAAATTAATAAAGACATGACTGTATGAAGAAAAACTTACCTTTCAGCTTGAAGCTTAGTGGTTTTTACTATTAAATCTTGAGTCTGTTCCTTTGCTGCCTAAAATTATAAACATATCTATTATCAGTACATTCCAATTGTATTTCAGAAGCCGAATACTACCACTTACTGGAGCTCAGACTTAGAGCAAATGAAAACACTGTACAGAAATCAAAAGTTTGAAAAAGGCCCAAGTAACTGAAATGGATGTTTCAGGCTCATACACTGCTTTTATAAGAGGAATTCACTCAGCGTTCTCAATACACACATAATGCTAAGATTTACAAGAAGAAAATCAGTATCCAGATGCTGACTAAGGAACTTAATAGTTCATGACACTTTGTGTAAAACATAAGCACCGGAAGAGCAAATTAAAGATGAAGAACATGACTTCAGTTATGGATGTGTTGAGCTGAAATACCACGAAACCTCTCAAATTAGGTCACTAAAATGTAGTGTGGAGCTCAATAGACATGATGGAGATAGAGATAAAAATTTGAGAAGTTGGAATATACAAACTATCTGCACAAAGGATTTTGGTGAGGATTGGAAATAGCCCTATCTAAACGACACAGAGCTGTTCCTGACCAAGTTTCATACTAAGCAATGCTCCGTCCTCCAAGCCAGAGCCGAAATGATCAGGAATGAAAGATTATCCAAACATTTACAAAATGGACTCAAATAGATCAGAGTAGCCAACGAGATTGTCTCTCTCAAAGACCCAACTGGAAAATACTACAAAAATAAGGCAGCAAGCAATAAGTGAAACAAGTAGTCACACGGCAGGTAGACACGGGGTTCATGCCTTAAAGGGACATGGAATTCTTGATGCAGAATTATGCATAAATTAAGTCACCAGTAAGCAGAAACGACAAAGTAGACAAAAACACATACAGTAGAGGGTAAGTCAGTCTGTTAAAGAGAGAATACCAGAGTAAACACCTGAAGATACTGGATCATTTTTCATGCTGGAACACTACTATAAAGAGCCAAGCTTCTGCTGCTAAGTATTCTAGTGCTGCCTTAGATCTAGACACCCTAGTTCTGGGTTTTTAGAAGCCTCATCCTCTATGAACTCTGTTCTCAGATTGTCAGTGAAATTCACTAATTGCTTCCTATGCATCAATAACAGAGCCCCATCCCAACCTCTAGTGAAGCTATTTTGAGTCTGTATTCCTTGCAATCAAATTATGAACCTAGCAAAAATAGTGGATATTTTTAAGAAAATAGATTTGAACCTAGATAATTCAGCATATCACTGATTTTTAATAAATGGAGCTGAACAAATGGCTCCCAAGGTACTCTTCAAGAATTATTAGCCTCCAAATCCAATAACTTCTTCAAATGTTTATATTTCCTAATATCATTTTGCTTTAAAGTTCCACTTCCACCCTTAGACATTCTTGCTTTGTATAATTTTTTCAAATATAGTATTTTCTCAATTCTAAGAAACATTTACATATCAGTATTTCTGGAAAAAAAAAGAATGCTTCACAAAATCAGTATCAAAAAACATTTAATAGCCTCTTTTTAGTCCCAGGCATTATTAAATTGACATTGTATCTTACAATCAATACTGTCTGTTAAACAATGAAATATGATATGTTAGTATAATGTTATGCAATATGAATTTGCTAATATTTTTTGCATATTTCCTGACTCTTCCCTTATAAACTATGATAATAATTCCAAAAGAATATTTAATAATACTAGTGAAGATTATTATCCTAAAACAATTTATAGTTAATTTATCTTAAATG